CACAAGAGGGATGGATCAATTTGTCCAGGGCAGGGAGTCAGAGAAGATTTCATAGAAGAGGTAGCGCTTGGTTGACTCAGATAGAATTCCATGAAACAGGAGGCAGCAGATAAAAGAGGACATGACCTTCAAGCACTTGGGGCCCTCAGACTTTCCAAATATAGAGGGTGTAGAATATCTCTGTCAAAGTGTCTGAGCAGCTTGATGCTGTGTGTTTCTAGACCAGAAGGTTAAGTGGAGGAGGAGTAGGACTGAAGAGAAGCTTTTCCATGCATGAGTCTTAGTTTACTTCCCTGTGCCTGCGTTATCTTTATTTTAAAATAAATAAATACTTACTCTTTTAGGAGCAGAAACATTAAGACACTAATCTCTTAAACAATGTGATGAATTTGTTAGCCAGCCACTGCTTCCTGGGTATCTATTTTTAAGTCATCTCTAACTGTGAAATAAAGGAGTGTTCCTCAGTTAAAGGTGTTTCAGAAATACGTTTGTAAGCAGAAGACTCTTCCCACATCTCTGAAGTCTGACCTGACCCTAAGAGACTCCAACTCCAAGGTCAAGTTCTTCTCTGACTGGAGTTATTAAGTTAAAAAACAAGGTGTCCAGGGGAGGCTGTCCATCTTGTGTCAATCAGTGGGCAAACAGGTGGTCTTACTTAAAGTCCTGTCATCCCAGTGACTATTACAACTACCAGGCGGAAGTTAGGTCTGGGCCCTGCCTGTCTTGGTTTTCTAGAAACAAACCTCAGGTCTGTGCCACTAAGAAACAGAAATTAATCTACTTTCTTGGGCTGAATAGCTCTTTATTTTGAACATAAGTTTGTCACTTATTCCTATGCTAAAGTTGGTTTATATCTTCTCCTATAGGGATCAAAAAACACACCATCTGATGAATGATATAAGTGCATAGAAACAGAACTCAAAGATGAAGAGACTGTTTTGAGGTGGGGAGGGGGCCTACTAGTCATGCACATGCACTGCAGGCCATGGCTCATGTGCCAGCGTAGCTCGGGAGACCCATCGATCTTCACCACCTCATTAGGCCAAGGGCTTCGATTTCCACTTCCGTGCATTGTTCCTTTGCTCGCTCTATAAAATGATCAACTCATGGCCTCAAGGTTTTTGCTGTGGAGTTGAGGTGACACTATTTCAACAGAATTGATGCCATATGGAAAATCTCGAGTTAGCTTTTGTACAAGTACACAATAAACGATTCAAACCAGATGTGACACTTGCTGTCCTGGTGAGAGCCCAGGTTTTGGTGTGAAACCATTGTGAGTTGGAATGTAACTTCTTCCTGCTCAGAAGCTGCAAAGACCTGTTGAAGTCTGGATCTTTATGAGCCTCTATTTACTCACCTGAGAATGGGACTAATTGTGCTGAATTTGCTTGGTTGTTACGAGTTGTAAGTGTATAGCATCCTTGGCACATAGATATTAAATAAATAAGTACTAATAAAATTAGTACCATGTACTGGCATTGTACACAAACCCTTATCTATAGACACTATTTTTTAAACCATTAAAAACAAAAACAAAAATGGTATCCCAGAGAGGTCACCAGTCTTCCCAAGGCCCATGGCCAGCAGTAGCAGGGCAGGATTTGGACCGAGGAAGTCTGACGCCCAGGAGCTGGCTCATCATTACTACCTCTAGGGCCTCTGCCCAGAACAACCCAGCAGCCACCCATGGGGTGATTCACAGTTGAAGACAGATTCTGGAATAAAGAATTTTAGAAACCTCGGGACTGGTAGACGGAGAGTCACTGCAGTATTTTGGGTAGAGCAATGTTATATCCATGGAGGAGAGATGGGAAGTATGCAGGAGAAACACCCAGAGCCACAGTTTTGCTCAGAGAGCTTAGGAGCATTCTAGTTTAGGAGGATGGGCTGGGGATTTAGCTCAGTTGGTAGAGTGCTTGCCTCGCATGCACAAGACCCTGGGTTCGATCCCCAGCATCAGGAAAAAAAGGGGGGGTGGGATTTAGGAGGATATCCAGTGGAGATAAGCATATGCATGATCAACTCCACATTTTTTATTTAAATTAATGTCATTCTTTCATTAATGACCCATGAGTTCATCTGATCAGATTTTTTTCAGAGCCAGAGAGAAGTAAAATTTTAATATTGCTTTATTAAATTGATGCCTAAAATATCCCAACTTAGTATCCTTTTTTCTAAGCTGACCTACCCTGTTAAGTACATAAGTTTTAAAAAATAATCAAACCCATGTTTCTTTTCAACTCATCAGCTTACATTTCTAATTAGCTCTTGGGCCCCCCACCCCTCACCTCTGCCACCCCTGTTCAACGCAACTGTCCACAGGGATGGCTTCATAGAACGCTTTTGCAACACAAGGGCACAGAGTAAGAAAGGAAGCCTTTTCAATCAACAGGTCACAGTGTCTCGTGTTTTATTGCATTTTTACTGATTCAGACAAATTATAGCAGTAGTCAAGCAAAAGGAAAGAAATGAATGGGGAGTTTTTCATGGAGCAAGATTTATGGACTGAAAAGGGATCCTTAGCAATGAACTCAGCATGTATTTGAGACTATTAAAAGTGTCTTTCCTTTATGTAAGGTAGTTCATGAGCACCAGAAAGTATGGAAGGGTTTTAGATTTGGACCACTTTTATGGAATAAAAACTCCATGGGATCTCTTTCTTCCTTTTGACTATGAATGAACAGAAATTTCCCATTTGACTTTTATAATTTTACAATATCAAAGGGTTTTATACTGAAAAGCAAGCTCTGAAAAACCCACTGTGGTCTGGGTTCATTGTGTGATTCTTCCAGCCCAGGAAAGATGGGGCATTTGGGCACAAACCTTGCAGGCCTGCCTTGCAACACAGGTGCTCCTAGGAGCCCTCTTTAACTTCTTCCTGCCCTGCCTCAAACTAGACCCCGGGGTGGGATCTTGGTAGAGTTGGGATCATCTCAAACCACTGACCCAGCAAGATCCTGAGTCTCCCTGGAGAAGGTGCAAAAAAACAAACTCTTGGTAGTTAAATGCTCCCTAGATCTGCAAAATTCATGTCAGAATTAAAACAAAGAATAATCTAAAACAATCTGTTGCTGGTACAGAATCTGAAAGATATATTACCCTGGATCAGGGTAACTTTTCCTGGCTCTTGAGAGCTGACTACCTCGCTAATTGTTATAATGCAAAATGTCTTCTGAATTGTGTAGTGATAAATGAAAGTATTGTAAAGATATTTGGAATCCAGTTGAGTTATTTGGTTATAAACTTTTTATTTTATTTTGTTGCTTCTCTACTCCAGAATGTGTATAAGAACCGTTTGTGTATGTGTTTGTTTTTAAGAATATAGTTTAGTGTGTTTTTGTTTTTTCTATCTTGTTATATTTTTACAAGAAATATTTTAATTTTTTTCTTCATTTCATGTGAGCTTAAATGAAAACACTCCATACTTCTCAGCTAATGTAAAATCCAGCCTCAGCCATATGGCTGGCTCATTAGCTCTCAGGGTTGTTAACAAAGCCCCCTAACATTGGTCAGACCTTTGGGATCATTACTGTCAGTCCACCCTGGTAACCAACAAGCTCTTACTAACCCAAGCCTATAAGATCTCTGTACATCCAGAAGTCCTATTGCTTGCAGGGCTGTGCTTGAGACACTTTATGCCTGGAGTCTGCCATAAAGGCTTCATCCTTGACCATTGCCTGTAGGATCTTTAGCCTATGTATGCTGCAGGAAGGGAATGGGAAACCCTTGGCAGGGCAGGTCCCAGATCATTATTGTGGGACGCATAGATCTCTGTTTCCATCTCCACACAAAAGCTCTTTCCCTCTTCCAGAGCCCTCAAGACACCCAGCATAATCCATTCAACATAATCCTTTTGGTGCCTTTGACTCTCTCAAACCCAGAAAGAGTCCAGGACTTCAGTTGCTTCAGTTTTCAGCACCACAAGATCCCTCGGGCAGAGAATTTTAAACCTTGACTACTTGTTACACAGGAGGGAGAAGAGGCAAAGATAATGTGAACAACTCAATATTTTAGAATCGTCTCACCTGAATACATAACTCTTCATTATGTACATATGTAAATTGTCTGCAGAGGTCCTTAGGAAACTTCCAGTGGTGGTGGCCTCTGGAGAGTGGGACTGGGAGGTCAGGATGAGAGGCACCCTGTGATGATATTTGTATCCAGATTCATGTCATTTTGGTGGTGTTTAAAAAATATAAGGTTATTAATTTGAAGAGTTGCACATTATTTTTAATTCATTAACCACGAAATATGTTCTTTAACCAAAGCTTCTACTTGTATATAATTTTGTCCTAATGTTGTGGATAAAGTTCAGAGGAGTAAATTTGCCCAGGATCACATAGTGGCAGGATTCAAACTCACAGCTGTGTTACACTTCAGTCCATGAATGCTCTTTCTTCTCCTCTAGGCTTTATCCTCCAGCAAGGGAGGACATTGGTTCATTCCACTAAGGCCTTTTCTTTCATTGCCAAGTCACAAGACCTGGCAAACCCCCTTCATCAGGCCACACATTTATGCCAAATCCTTAAATACCAATAAATACCTGAAACTATGTTTCAAAATACACCATAAAATATAAATAAGAATGACACATAGTTCACCCTAAGTTCCTACATAGCAGCAGTGTTTAAAGTTAACAGTGAAACACAAGCAGGAAGTTTAACATGAGTTAGGCAAAGGCAGTGCTTAAGAACTAAAATAATCGAAAGAAAGCTCTAATTATTCGTCCAAATATATGATAACTATGTATCTTATTTATCCTTATGTCAAATAGATAGAATGTGGCATTATGAACAAATCATGAGTTGCTGCCTGTGGTTTGGTTGCTTACTTAAGGAAGCATTTATGCTTATTGAAAATTAATTAGAAGGTGAAAGTGGAGCACAGTCCCAGTGACTCGGGAGGCTGAGGCTGGAGAATCACAAGTTTGAGGTCAGCCTGAACAAGACCCTGTCTCAAAATAAAAAGAAAGAAAATTAATAAGAGTTTGCTTTTTGCAGGATGCTATAGTCATACATGAAGTCTATGAAGAAGGAGCAGCAGCCAGAGATGGAAGACTTTGGGCTGGTGACCAGATATTAGAGGTATATAATTTTGAGTTTCATTTTATACCAGTAAATATGGTTCCTTGCTGGGTGGGGTGGCACACACCTGTAATTCCAGCAGCTTAAGAGGCTGAGGCAGGAAGATCACAATTTCTAAACCAGCCTCAGCACTTAGGAGGTCCTATGCAACTCAGCAAGACCCTGGCTCAAAATAAAATACAAAAAAGGACTGGGGATGTGGCTCAGTGATTAGGCACCCTGGATTCGATCTAGGTACCAAAAAAAAAAAAAAACCAACAAATATAGTTCCTTTCCTGACTTTGATCTACAAAGTCAGTTTATCCATATTCTACTCAACTCTACCCTTTCTGATTTCTCACACATTTAACAAAATAAATATCATGTTCTTTTTTTTAAATGTACATTGAACAACTCACAGGTTTAGAATCATGACAGATTACCAACCTAATTAAAAGGGAAGTACATCTTATTGTTCTATCATTTTAATATCCATGGCCCTATATAATATGGCAACCAGATTTTTTTGCTTCTCCATTGTACCTTAACTAAATTCCCTCCTGAAAACACATATAGACGCACGTACACATAAGCATGTATGTTTGAAATGTTGAAAACTTTAATTGCAGCTTAAATATTATTTTATTAATCTTAATAAACCTTTATGCCTAACAGAAGCCCAGGCCTTGCCATCAGCATTTTCAAGTTGATGAGAAAGTAGAATCTTCTCCTGTATATAGTCCTTATTAAAAATTGAAATTCTAGGGCTGGGGATGTGTGTAACAGCAGAACACTTGCCTAGCATATGCCAGGCTGTTGGTTTCATCCCCAGCACCACCAAAAAAAAAAAAAGAAGTGCTGAACTTGACTCTTTCAAATTGCCTTTCGTTTAGCAAAGTTGTTAAAGCCTTAAAACTGCCAACATAGGCAGTGTCTGCACTGGGGATTGAATAGGAAGCCAATGCCAGGCGTTCTGGTAGGTGGAACTAAAGAGCTTTTCCAGTGATGTGAAACCTTAAGGTATCATTTATTTCTTTCATTGGATGGATTTAATGAAATAGTTAGCATTTTATGGTGGGCATGTGCATTTTTGCTTTGCAACTTTAATATAGCACATTACAAATGACATCATAGTTTTATTTTCCCCCTTGGTAGTTCATTCCTGCCTCCCAAGATGAAAACAGAAATATAATTAAGGGCAGAAAATGTAGACAAGAAGGGGTTAAAGGAAAGGCCAACCTAACTACAAATTAAACTGAAGCCAAGTTATTGGGTTTCTCTGCAGACTTTGTTGTGCTTCAGAGTTGGATCAAGACATAGTCCCAGTACATTCATTAAGGCACAAGTGTGTGGGGTTACAAAAATAAGCAAGGCCTCTTTGGGAAATGGCCTGACAACTTTAGCATAAAATACAGTTTTGTTTTGTTTCGTTTTTTGGCTTTGGTACTGGGGATCGAACCCAGGAGCACTTTACCACTGAGCCACATCCCCAGTCCTTTTCACTTTTGTTTGTTTGTTTGTTTTAGTACTAGGGACTGAACCCAGGGGCACTTAACCACTGAGCCACATCCCCAGCCCTTTTTTGTATTTTATTTAGAGACAGGGTCTCACTGAGTTTCTTAGGGCCTCACTAAGTTGCTGAGGCTGACTTTGAACTCCTGACCCTCTTGCCTCAGGCTCCCAAATTGCTGAGATTACAGGCATGTGTCATCACACCCAGCTATAACACAATATTTTTGTGAACAGAGGTTGTGGGGTTTTGGGGGTTTTATTTTTTCCTCCCTAGATTTTCTGATCATTTGGTATTTTTATAATTGGCTTTTGAGAATGAGGAGGTTAACTGTTTTAAAATAAGCAGATGAAAATATGCCTTTATATTTATATGGATTGTACATTTATCAATGCCCTATAATGGTCACTTGAAACAAAGTCTGATATGCTCATTTTCTTTGAGTATGGCAATAGCTGCACAGCATAAATACACATGTCAAAATTCATCAAGCTAGCCATAGTGGCACATGCCTTTAATCCCAGCAGTTTGGAAGACTAAGATGGGAGGATCACAAATCCAGAGCCAACCTCAACAATTTGGTGAGACCTTTGTCTCAAAATGAAAGTTAAAAGGACTGAGACTAGAGCTCAGTGTTAGAGTACTGGCAAGCTTGCAGACCAGGGTTCAGTACTGCATAAAATAAAACTATTAACTGTACACATTACAGCCATGTGCAAGGATACCCACATAGAATCCCAGCACTCAGGAGGCTGAAGTGGAAAGATCAATTAGTCCAGGAGTTTGAGACCAACATGGACAACATAGCAACATCCTCTATCTCCCTCCCTTCCTCTCCCTCCCCCCCAACACACACACACACACACACACACACACACACACACACAAACCCAATTGTCCATTAAGTACCTGTAATCCCAGCTATTCACGAAGTTGATAGAGGTTTATCCCAAATTTAAGGCCTGACTGGGTGATTTAGTAAGACCCTATCTCAAAACAAACAAACAAACAACAACAAAAAGTTGGGAATGAATAATTAGAACAAATTTAAAAAAAATTAAAGTTGGAGATGTAGCTCTTAGATAGAATGTTCCTGGTTTCAGTTCTCAGAACCAAAAAATAAATTGTATTTTAAATATGTATAGAGTTTTCAGCAATTATACCTCAACAGAAAAAAAAAATATTGACCATCTCTATTTGTATTGGATAGACCTTCGGCTAGAGGTGCTCTCTTCCATATAGTATATACACATACAGGTGAACATTCAGTAACGATTAACATGCAGCCATGTGCGGTGGTGCCTATAATCGCAGCTACTCAGGAGGCTGAGGCAGAAGGATCACAAATTCAAGGCTAGTATAGTTCAGGGATAGAATGCTCCTGGGTTCAATTCCCAGTACCAGGAAAAAACAAACAAACAAAAACAGCATGAAGAAGGCAAATTTGTTTTAGATAGAAGAAGAATTTGAAGGTGAAGTTACCATTTCTGGCATTTTACAGAATTATATTGTTTGATCTGGATGGATTCTATGCTTCTCATTAAAGATGGGAAGTGTAGGATCTAATTCATCATAGTATATCATAGGTATAGTTGGGAAATTGAGTTTGCATGTTTCTTTCCAAGTAGCCTTAGCCCCCAAACTTGGATGGGTTCCAGTTGGCCGTATGCACACATGCAAAATACACAGTCGGCCACTGGCCAGCTTGGGTGGGACATTTTAAGACCAGGAAATAAGTTCCCTTCATCAAGCACTGATGTGAGGACCTTCTGCTCATGGGATTCCATTCTGCAGGCTGGTCTTATGGTTTTAGTACTATCCTCAGGTTAAAGTTAGGACAAGGCAGATTTCGCCTCCAAGGATATTGTCAAATAATGTTTTAGCATGGTGAGATTAATGAATCTATGAGGGTGCACTGTCTTCTTTCTGATTCTCCTTTTGGGTCCATCTTTCCTCTTATCCCACCCCTACTACCATTATCTCTTCTATGCTGGTGTAAGTGGGAAAAGAAAGAGAGTTTTCCCTGTGGAATAAAATAATGGGAACTACATTTCTGCTTTGGCTATCTTTTTCTTCTCAAGTAGTGGCTCACCCACTTTTCCCATCCTGCTCAGGGCGTGATGCCCTCTTCTTGACATCCGGGACTTTTGAGGATCCTTCTCAAATAGGGAGCCGCCTATTACCACCGCTCCTCTTCTGTGATCAGTGTTCTAAACAGTGCAGTACTTGTGTGAGGCACTCAGGTGCGTTCATCACGCCACAGCACTCTGGCTGCACTGCGGCATTTCTGTTGTGATTATTACATTTAGTGGCCTCCTGATAAGCAGAGGAGCAAATGAAAACTGTGAACTGAGATCCCTTTGATCTGAGCAGACACCTTATGAAGAAATTTAGTAATTGCTTTTGTAATATTAGAGAGTAATGGTAATGCTTTTAATTAAAAGTATATTTGTTAGAGCCTTTCAAAAGGAATTTAGAGGCTTAGAAAGTTCACCTTCCATCCATGAGGATCCCCTCCTCCCCCTCTTTTTTTAATTGAGTAACAGGAGTGATCTTGTGTGCCATCTATTGGAATACAGGAAAATAACCAGCTCAGAGCACATTTTCTAGTGACATTGTTTTCCCTTTGTTCCCTGCGTGTATCTTGCAAACAATGAGAATGCATTCATTGGTCTAAAATAAAATGGAATTATCATGCAGAGAATAGCTCTGGCTGAGTTTTCTTCAATACCTTGCAAACATCAACTTCAAACTTACATAGACATAACTATGTGCCAAACCCTGTGCCAAATGCTTCATAGAACTTTTTTTTTTTTTTTAAACCAGGGATTGAGGGCTGGGGTTGTAGCTCAGTGGTAGAGTGCTTACCTTGCATGCATGACCCTATCTCAAAACAAACAACAACAAAAAAAATTCCATCCTCAGCACCACATAAAAATAAATAAATGAAATAAAGATGTATTTTACTTAGAGACAGGGTCTCACTGAGTTGCTTAAGGCTAAATTGCTGAGATCTAGCTTTGAGCTGTCGATCCTCCTGCCTCAGCCTCCTGAGCTGCTGCGATTACATGCATGTGCCACCGTGCCCAGCCATTATAGGGCTTATGTAATTTAGTCATCACAACACTAGATAGGTATTACTATTGTCTCCAAATCCATCTATATTCAATACCCAGGTCCTTAGCCACTGTTATCCTGGTTGTATTTAGTCTAAGTGAGTAGAGAGGCCACTGAGATACACCAGAGAAGAAAAGGCAGCTTGAAAATTGTGCTTTTTAAGCCAGGAACAGTGTCACGTGCCCATAAACCCAGCTACTCAGAAGGCTGAGGCAAGAGAATTGCAAGGCCCTGCATCAAATAAAAAGGGCTAAGGTTGTAGCCCGTTGGTAGCGCACTTGCCAACCTGACAGGAGGCCTGTGCTCCTTCCTCAGTAATGTGAAAACAAAGAAAGTCAGCTTTAAAACAATTTCTTGGCTCATAGAATCAGCTTTAAACAACAGCCCAATATCACCTTCTTTAGGAACAGTCTATTCTCTTTTCTCCCTTCAGGTTTTTTTTTTTTTTTTTTTTTTTTTGATGTTGGGTCTTTGATACTGTTGGAGATACCAGTCCCTCGTTTCTTCCAGGTCTATTCTAAAGTAGTTGTGATGACAGCAATTAAGAGTAATGGGGGGGGGGGCTGGGATTATGGCTCAGTGGTAGAGCACTCACCCAGCATGGATAAGGCACTGGGTTCGATTCTCAGCACCACATAAAGTTAAATAAATAAAGATATTGTGTCCATCTACAACTAAAACATTTTTATAAAAATAGTAATGATGTCAATCAGGAGTGAACTGAGTCTAAAACTGCTGACTGACACTGTTTATTTCCCTTTAACCGAATTCAAATGATTCAGTCCTCTCCCCCCGCCCCCAGTCAAGTTCACAGCTATGTGAATTGCGTGATCATGTGCACTCACCCACCACCCCTCCTTCATATTTCAAGCAGCTCGTGCTGCTAATGGTCACACCTGTGTGTTTTGGGAAAGACTGGAAATTCCTAGAGGTTTTTCACTGGTTGGATCAGGGAGCTTCCGTAGGCAGAGGGGGCTCTGTGTCAGCAGCCACCACAAGATGCCCATTGTTGCAGGTTAATGGGGTTGACCTGAGGACCTCCAGCCACGAGGAAGCTATCACAGCCCTGAGGCAGACCCCGCAGAAGGTGCGACTGGTGGTGTACCGCGATGAGGCACACTACAAGGACGAGGAGAACTTGGAGATCTTCCCTGTGGATCTGCAGAAGAAGGCCGGCCGAGGACTGGGCCTGAGCATTGTTGGGAAACGGTAAGGACGACTGTGCAGGTCAGCACTGACCTTTCCCTTCACACCTCTAGAACTAATGCCTGTGGACACTAAAGGGTAAAGCCTGACGTAAAGTAATTATGGGATTTCTAAACTAAGATGCTTATAGCCAGGCACAATGGCCCATGCCTGTAATCCCAGTGACTCAGGAGGCTGAGGCAGGAGGATCACAAGTTCTAGGCTGGATTGAACAATGTAATAAGACCTTGTATCAAAATAAAAAATGAAAAAGGAGTGGGGATATAGCTCAATAGTAGAGCTTCCCTGGTTCAATCCCCAATACCAAAAAATCCAAATAAAACTAAAATAATTATGAATATGTAAACTTCATAGGTCATACCTCCAAACATCTTACCAAAAAAGAAAAACTTACCATATCAAGATAGAACTCCAAACCCAAACAACCCAATCTATTTTATTTCCTTCTAGAGTAAAAACAGCTGGCAAGGTCTTTTCTACTTGAAATACCTACAGATGAGGCTTGTAGAGAGTAGTTAATACAACTTTTTCCAGGAAACTGCTCATGTTAAGAGGTTGATTCACACAATGTTAGATTAAGAAAATTGATCTGGCATGGAGCATCATGATAATTTCATACTGTGTTAAACTAGTTGGTAGACATAGTTGAGTGGCAAACATGATAGTAGTTTTCTTTTCAGAAAGAAGTCCCCAAATGTGATGGCTTACACGTATAACCCTAGCTACTTGTGAGGCTGAGGGGAAAAAAATTCCAAATTGGAGGCCAACCTCAGCAAATTGACCATGTCTCAAAATAAAAAGGGCTAGGGATATAGCTGGATGGTAGAGAGCAATCCCTAATGCCATTAGAAAAGATAAGAAGGCAGGGAGGGAGGAAGGGAAAAGAAAGGAAAGATGTCCCCAAAATAATAGTTTGCACCAAAAATACAGATGGATCTTGGTGGCTAGGTTGCTCCAAGTCTGTACTGCTTAACAATATGATGGGAATTAGAGTAATTGTTCCAGGATGACATTAGGAAGTTTCTCTTACACGGAATTGGAAAGGAAAGTAATATCACAAAACTGTTGTCCCAGCTTCCATGGTTTACTGGTTTGGGTATCTAGTCTGCAAAACTTCTAGGTGATATGCCTGTATGGCCTTAGGTTGCCTTGAACATCGTCATGGGAAGAATTTAAGTCCATGTTATAGATGTCATGGCATGTGCCCTCAAAGACCTCTGGTGACTCTCATGCCTTTATGCAGCAGTGTAATACGCAGCAGTATTAGCTGTCCCCACACCCCTTTTTTTTTTGTTTGTTTGTTTGGTACTGAGATTGAACCCAGGGGCACTTAAGCACTGAGCCACATCCCCAGCCCTTTTTATGTTGTATTTTTATTTTGTTTTGGAAACAGCGTCTTGCTAAGTTGCCCAGGCTGGCTTTTGACCTCATGAGCCTCCTTTCTCAGTCTCCTGAGTTGCTGGGGTTACAGATGTGCACCACTACACCCAGCTAGTCCCCATTTTTGAGTACTGTGCTGTCATGATACCATGATATTTTTACTTCAGCACAATAAAACCATCACTCTGAAAATGCATTTCAAAACAAAAATGCTTAATCTCTTACATTTCTAAACAAAAAGCCATGCACATGTGGGTGCAGAGCAACTGATAGAGAAATATTGAAGTTTGCTTTCTTGTCCTGAGACATACACATACCTGGGGAGTTTCCATTTAGAGTAATGACTTTGCTTTATTATCATGTGGTAGATTGATGAAATAATCATCTTCACACAGCATCACCATTTCAGGTTGAATTTGTAAGGAGATTTATATTTCTTAGCACAAAAACTTGAACTGTAAAGGATCAGATGTATCTCTCTCAAAATTCAGTTCCCTTTCACTAACAATTTCATGCCTTGGAGTTTATCTTAACAACATGCTTGCAGGTATTTATTGTGCATTGTTTGCAGTAGCTAAAGAATGGAAATAACCCATTTGTCTATTATGGAACGCCTACAGAATAGTATGTAGTCACAATGAGGAAGCTCCAAGTGCTAATAAAGATCAGTTGGAGCAGGGGTTGTAGCTCAGTGGTAAAGCAGATGTTTAACAGGTATGAGGTCCTTGGTTTAACCTTTAAAACAAACACATACACACACCACACACCACACACACACACAAGAAAAAAAAATCAATTGCCAACCTGTATTAAGTGAAAGGAAAAAAAGAAATCTGTATATGGTCACTCATATACACTTATGTACTTTGCATGGGCATTTTGCTTATGTGTAAACAAAATATTCCTTTTACCTACCCAAGAAACAGGTAATGTGGGTTGCCTCTGAGAAAGGAACTTGGTAACAGAGGTGAGAGGAAAACTTTTCAAGATGTATACTTTTTAACCTGTCGAATTTTGAGATATAAATTTGTGTATTCATCAAATACATGTTACTAGGTCTTTAAAAATAAAGGCAAGAAAAAAGTGAAAGGACTAGAATTAGATCAAATAGAATACATCAAATGTTAGCTTATCTTCTCTAGAGAAATAACCTGTTGATTTTAAGAGTACTTATCTCCATCTTTTAAAGTAAATTTCCATTTCACTCCACTAAAATTTTCACCTTGCAAAACAGTATGTCCTTGGACCAATAAAAATTAATATGCAGTAGGCAGATAAATAAGCATAAACTAAAGAATGATGTGCTGCAGTTTATTATTTGGGAAGTAAGTGGAAGCATTGGCTTTGATCGTTTGATAGGACCCTTCTGCCAAGTTTTAGGATTTAGTGCATCTATATAGAAAGTTAACCATCTCAGATTTTAACTAAGAAGTATGAGGTTTGCCTGTAACCCCACCACTTAATGGTATTAACAGGAATGGAAGCGGAGTGTTTATTTCTGACATCGTGAAAGGTGGAGCTGCAGACCTGGATGGGAGGTTGATTCAGGGAGATCAGATCCTATCTGTGAATGGAGAGGACATGAGAAATGCCTCTCAGGAGACGGTGGCCACCGTCCTCAAGGTGAGTCCCTTGGCGGCCATGCCTGATTTTTCTGTCCTCTTCACCTCATTTTCTGAATGATTTCTCTGTCCATGAGTACTTTCATCTGACGGGAGAAAGAAAAGAGGTGAATTAGAATCTGGTCCTTTTCTGTGCATGTGGGAAGCCATGACGTGAATGCCCCTGTGTCTAGAACCGTCACTCCGCTAGGCTTTTGGGTGATGGTGTCTCGGTTGTGCCTTTTGCCTTCGCAACTCTTTCATGACTCTGGCTGCAGAGATGAGTAGAGGTTCCGCTCTGGGGATTGACAACCTGAATGCTACTGCTTTTCATTTCTGTTCCGTTCTTGTCTTCCCAAGTGTGCGCAGGGGCTTGTGCAGCTCGAGATCGGAAGACTCCGAGCGGGTTCCTGGGCCTCCTCGAGGAAGACATCGCCAAACAGTCAGGTGGTCCATGGCTTCGCAGCACACTGCCTCCCTCTCCTGCTCCCGCTGGGGGGAAGTTCCTCATTTCATAAACAATTGTTAGAATAATGTCTAATATTCCGCGTGTTCACAACGCCAAGTGCAGTGTGTTTTCATGTGTTTGAAATAAAAATGAAAGGTGGGATGGAAATTCATTAATCCCTAGATTTTTCTCTCCTTAATTGCCTGCAAATGTTTCCTAGAACCCTTCCTCTCCCTCTGTTAGTCCTATATTGCCTAGGCACACAGCTGTGTTTACTTAAAAAAAAAAAAAAAAAAAAAGGCAACATCTGGTAGCAATTTGACCCTCATTAGCACAACATTGTTCTATTCATTCAATTAAATATTGCTATAAAGTTAACTTGTGAATAGCCCCTCACACATGCTGAGGGCAATTAATGGCATAGTCCTAGGAGAATGAAGTGTGGGGGTTTCTCCCCGGGGAGGGAGGCCTTAGTGGGTGATATTTTGTGGGTTAGCAAACATCTTATGTTTATGTACAAGGCTGATGTAAGTGCCACTTTCTTTAAACAAAGTATATTTCACTGTATTTTTTTCTGTATAATGGCTGATACAATCAAGATTGCAGACTGCATGTTTAGTCCCACTGATACAAAGTGCAGCCATACAAACTTGCATGTGTGCCCTTGGTCTACTTGTGGACAGGCCTTTGTTTTGAAGTTAAAAGCATGGCTTTTGGTCCCTTCCTGGTCACCTTTGACAGAGTCTTTCCCAGACCTTTGTTCAGAAGATGCTCAAATTTTGTTAGCACAGTAGGTGCTTCCCGAAGGATATTAGCTAAGTTCATTGCTGTCCCAAAATGGACATGGAAAAATATTGTTCAGATGGGCTCACAGACAAGCTGGCCTGTCATTTCTGGCATACATAATGGGCAGCAAATATAGGAAGAAAGATGTGGTGCTGCTGTGGAATCCCATGAGTGACTAGTTGGTGATGTTTCTGACCATGCCTGTATGGACAGTGGGCACTGAGGGCGGAAGTAGTTGTCTCAGGCCTCTCCCTGAATGGAAGACTCATGTTTGTTGAATGATTTCATTAAAGCCTCATTGTACACAGGAGACTAGAACGAAGAATGAACCACTCTGGAAATGAGATTTTTCTTCTTGCCAGATTATGACAGAGAGCTACAGAGGAGGTTCTACTGGGTATCACTTCTAAAGGAGTTTGAGGGGAAAAGATTGCAACCTAGACAGAGTAGTATGCAAAGGCCCATTAAGATAAGAGGAGGTTGTGTGTTTTAAGAGAAATTTGGAATGACAGCTGGGATGGTAGGAAGAGCTAGATTTCTGACTTTCTTGAGGAAAATATGTGAGCATCATCATAATTGATATATAAGTTATCAGATTTGAAAACTTGGGACAAAGTGTCAAATACATTTTTTCTTTTTTCATTTTGTTTTTGTTTGTTTGTTTGTTTGTTTGTTTGTTTGTTTGTTTGTTTGGAAGGGAAGGGGCCAGTAGTCCTGGGGATTGAACTCAAGATCTTGCGTTTTGCTAGACAAGCGCTCTACCACTGAGCTACATCCCAGCCCTCAAGTGCTTCTCCCTAACTTTCTTGCACAGAATTTTTAGTTTAGAGGATAGAAATTTAATTCAGTGTTTTTAAAAGTGTATTTTGTCATCACCTTGTCCTTATAATTATGGGTGAAATATGTGAGAATCCACCCTATTTGTAGGATTGTAGTTGACTGTGAAAAGGAACTGTTTTCCATTATCATGAGCCAAAGCCCATGACCGTGATGGAGAAAAAGAGGATTCCATTCCCAAACGTGTTCACTTCCAGACCTATTGAGAGCAGTCAGGACCTTCCAGAGGCATAGCTTTCCTTCTGAGCAATTATAAGGGAGAGAGAAAGATGCCACCTGTTGGGGATTAAGGAGAATTGTAACTCCACTACTCGTGGGTTTCTCAGGAGAGAGCTTGTAGCCTGGGGGCCACTGACACTCTTTAAAAATGGGTTTTTCTGCCAAGCAGGAGGAAGTATCTCAACTCTGAAGAGGAAAGTATGTATTAAGAAAAATCTTGGGGCTGGGGATGTGGCTCAAGCGGTAGCGCGCTCGCCTAGCATGCGTGCGGCCCGGGTTCGATCCTCAGCAGCACCACATACCAACAAAGATGTTGTGTTCGCAGAGAACTAAGAAAAAATAAATAAATGTTAAAATTCTCTCTCTCTCTCTCTCTCTGTCCCCCCTTCTCTCTCACTCTCTAAAAAAAAAAAAAAAAAAAAGAAAGAAAAATCTTGAGAAATCCTTTCCTCATGTACCTGAGGGAACACAGCCAGACAAGTCCAAATTAATAAAGGCCTTGGCAAATACATTATTCTGAGATTGTTTTGGGGCAGAAGTTACAATGTGCTGTACTTCCTTAATGGATCCATCCTCAAGTGTGATAATACCTACAACTTACATTGAAATAAATTTTTAAAAACGAAGGAGTCATCTGGGTAAAGTGGCACATGCCTGTAATCCCAGCCGCTAGGGAGGATGAGACAGGAGGATAACAAGTTCAAAGCCAGCCTCAGCAATAACGAGGTACTAAGCAACTCAGTGAGACCCTGTCTCTAAATAAAATACAAAATAGGGCCGGGTTTGTGGCTCAGTGGATGAATGCCCTTGAGTTCAATCTCTGGTACAAACAAACAAAAAATAGATGAGTCAATTGATGAATAGATGATGTGAAATAAAGAAAATATAGCTAGTGCAATAGCCTGGATACCTGGACAACTTAGCAAGACCTTGTCTCAAAAGTAAAAAATGAAAAGGGCTAGAGATGTTAGCTCAGAGGCAGGCTGTCCTTGGGTTCAATCCCAGTACCACCACCAAAAAAAAAAAAAAGGGGCTTGGGGAGAGAAAATATAGCAAATTTTCAATTATGGAATCTAGGTAATATGGATATGGATATCTGTAATTCTTCCAATCTTTCGGTGTATTTGAAATTTTTCATACTTAAGAAATGTTAAGATATTAAACATCTTATACAATAGAGCTAAAGAAATGAATCAGATTATAATTTATCAATTGATAATAGTTATTTTAGGCTTATCTTAAAATTTCAATGCAGTTAGACATGGTTTTCGATAATTTGGTATGGAAAATATTCATTATTAATGAAATAGTTTATGTTAGAGAGGGTCTTCAGTATGTTTTGAATTTTTATTAAGAGTCATTAGCCATAAATAACTATGCATTGTAGACCTCAAATATTTATTTAAATGACTAAAAGTTCAGGTAACATAGTTACAGCAGATTAGATTAAATTACTGCTGACTCTAGGAAATTTTTTGAGAAAAAAGTAATATATACCTAAAATAAACCTTTTTCCCTTTGTATTTGCTGCTTTCTCCTATAATCAAGGGCTCCATGTAGTCAAATGTTTGTTAATTGAGATTTTTATCATAGTTGTTTTAGCAAAATATATAAGACAGGTTGGGTAATCTGAGAATACATGCTGATTGTAGCCACAAATGACACATTAGCTGGCCATTATAAACACTACGTGGCAACCAAGGAAAATGTTTTTGATTTTATGTGGAATAAGGGGAGCTCAAATGATTGCAGTTTTTCTCCCCTGATTGAAATCACATATAAAAGTACATATAATGGAGGAAATAGTAGAGGAAAGGTTCAGATGGGACTGGGTTTTAGTGGTGAAAGATGATGGGTATGAATATTTTAGTTGTCTGTCTTGGCTTCTTCAGAATTCTATGTTTCATGGCTCTGATGACTTCAGCAACAGGCTCACTAATGATAAGCATGAATTGTCAGGGTCAAATCAGCGTCTGCCCTCAGTGACCACTGGTCCTCCTTTTCAGGGAGATCCGCACAGCACACATAGCAGCTGTCGGCCTTCCTTGGCCCCTGTCATCGCTGGCCTACAGAACCTGGTTGGCACCAAAAGAACTCCAGAACCTTCCCAGAGAATTTCAGGTATCATGTGGACACACCACCAGCCGAAATTTCCTGTTACCCAGTTTTTAAAAAAATATTAGGGTTTTAAAAAAAATCTTGTCTTTACATGTTGAATCTGAGTTTGGCCACATATGCCACCTTTTCAGAAAGGTCTATCCTAGCCGGAGAAGAGCCCTAAAGGTTCTTGTTTGGAGTGTGCCCTTAAGAGTACACAGATCACATGAACAACAGAAGCAGAACTAAAGTGCATCAAAAAGCACAGCTATTGGGCTAGGGGGTGTAGCTGAATGGTGGGGCACTTACCTAACATGCACAAGACACTGGGTTCAATCTTTAGTACTGTAATAATGAGGAAAGTGTGTGCAGCTCTTTACAAAATGAATAATAAATTGCAGGTCACTAGGGGGAGGTCAGAAGTGCACATGGCCAACTGGGCACAGTGGCACATGCCCCAAGCCCTGCAACTTGGAAAGCTAAAGCAGGAGGGTCACAAGTTCAAGGCCAGCCTCAACAATTTAATGAGACCCTATGTCAATAAGTAAAAAGGGCAGGGGATGTGGCCCAATGGTAGCATGCCCCAGGGTTCAATCCCCAGTACTTGGGGAGGGGCAAAGGAGGGTGCATAATCCATTGGGGACATAGCAGACACAAGGGTCTTGGTGAGTCTCTCCTTGGGTGGAGGGCTAGCTTTGATTAGGGCAGAAAAGTATACAACGAAGCACTCTTGGGGCTCACCTCCCAGCCCTGATCTCCGTGCTTCAGGCAGCTCTGCTGCAGTCCAAATGATGATGGCCGCATCTATCTCAAACTGAGAGCACTTCCTTAAAATAAAGGACAGAGCCCTGTGGGCTTGCTGACAGGCTGAAGTGGAGAGCAGGGAAAGCCTGCAGGCTCCAGCATCCTCTCTTGAAAGGACTAGAAAACAGTGCCATTTTTTGTGAAAGAGTATTATATATCCTAAATGTATTGTCTCTGAATTTTACAAAGTTAATGGTCTTGCTTCTTTATTTATATAGGCACAGATATGGGACCAAGGACTGTTGAGATAATCAGAGTAAGTCATTTATTTCGCTGTTTTTAATGATCTCAAGATTAATTCCTCCACGTGAACCTCTTGGATCAAAAGCCATGCCTAGGAGTTGGGAGCGTGGCTCAGTGTTAGAGCACTTTCCTAGCAAGCACTAGGTCCTGGATTCAATCCCTAGCATCACCAAAAGAAATGCCATGCTTGTTAATTAGGGTTTTTATGTGTTGCTAAATTGCCCTTTTGAGAAGATTGCATAAGATGCATCTCAGTTTATAAACTTGTTACACTAGGAAATAATTAAAAATTTTTGACTGTGTTGTAATCATAGTAATCAACCACAGTAAGTTGATGTCCAGCGTGACTGTTCTCTGGACTCTCTCATATCTCTGTTGAGGAGTGCTATGTTTATTCATTTGTCTGTATTTGTTTGTGGGGTCTGCTATAACATAATGCCACAGACTGAGTGTCTTCAACAACAGAAATCTATTTTCTCATAGTTCCAGAGGCTAAAGTCCAAGGTCAAGGTGCCAGCAGTTTTGGTCCCCCCCCCCAGCCTTCTCAGTGACCTCTCTGTCTCATCATCCACGCCCATTTCTCTCCTATGTCCTAACTTCTTCTTTCACAAAGAGACCATGGAGTCAGCAGCCTCATAAAGACAAGGGCCCACCCAACTCCCTCATTTTAAAGACCTCTCCAAATACACTCACATTTGGGGGCACTGGTAGTTGGGCCTTCAAAATATGAGTCTTAAGGGGAATACAATGTAGTCCATAACATTAGCTTTATGATCAACCTCAACTCTCTCATCTATAGAATGGGGGTGATAACACTGACTTCCCTTGAATGCCCATATAGTTGTGTGGACTAAGTGAGGAAATGGTATAGTATACCGTGAATGCCCACAAAGTGGCATGGGTTATTATGGTCCCTGTTGGACTAAGTCAGTCTTATTTGCTCCCAGTATCTTTTCACCAGAGCAGCGACTCAGATGATCCTATGATGGGGAAGTTAAATGTACCACAAGCACATAATTATGGATCAGTTAAGGACACATTACAATGGAGTTAAACCCAAATTATTTCATAAATTTCTCATCATTCCAAGATTTTAAAAACATTTTATATTTTAGTCTTTTGTTTTTACAGGCTTCTCTAATAAGTCCTGCTTACACCACCCCTATTCTCCCACACAGTGTCCAAGCACACATCATAATAAAATGTGTCTTACCATTTGGTACACAAGACTTGACTATGGGCACAATCAGGAAGTATATGTAACACACAGATGCTGTGACAACAGGATGTAAGCTACCTGTGATGAGAGGGCAGCATTGCCGTCATCCTGAATTACAGGTGTGACATGGCAGCACTGATATTAATAACAAAGTATAGGGGGCTGGGGTTGTGGCCTAGTGGCAGAGCCCTTGCCTAGCATGTGTGAGGCACTGGGTTCAATTCTTAGCACCACATATAAATAAACAAAATAAATATTTTTTAAAGTAAACACTATTTTTAAAAATTTATAATACATATGATGTAAGGTTTGGTTTGGTGAATTTTTGTTTGTTTTTTGGTGCTGAGGATTGAACCCAGGGCTTCATGCACACTAGGCAAGCACTCTGCCACTGAGCCACTCCCCCAGCCCTTTTTATATTTTATTTTGAGATAGCATCTCACCAAATTGAAAAGGTTAGACTCGAACTGGAAGTTCTCCTATCTCAACCTCCCAAGTCACTGGATTATAGGTGTGTGCCTCTGTACCCAGCTTAATCTGTGTATATATTTAAATGATTAATTTAAACTACAGAAGCCTTGCAGTCATCCAGTCCCTTTTATCACACCACCACTGACATTTAGACCAAATTTGTCATATGTTCACATCTTTATAAATTGTTTTGTTTGTATTTTTGTTTTATAGTGCTAGGGATCAAACCCAAGGCCTCATGCATGCTAAATACATCTAAATAAACAGAGTTATAAATTTTGCTTTCAGCTGTTCTTTATATTCTAAAGGACATCAAAAGAAAATTGGTCACATTTTTCTGGGTTTTTGCAGGTTGACTAATTTAGTATTTTACCCTGAACCTTATGAGTATTACATTGTATGGATGCTAAAGAATGCTGATGTTTTACTATCATAATATAAGTTCCACCTGGGGATGTGGCCCAGTGATAGAACATTTGCCTAACATGTGCAAGGCCTTGAATTCAGTCCCCAGAATGGCAAAACAAAACCCCACAAAAATGCAGAATGCAAGTTCCATCTCACCTTTTGTAGGTGGTGGTTCAAATCCTAGTTATGTTCTAGAAACCATGCTATGCCTGTCTGTGACCGTTCCACACATACGTAGCTTAGAATTGAGCCTGAGAATTTTGTGAGTTTATTTGCAGAATTGGGAATCCCAGCTTTCCAGCTCTTTCCATGCTGGTTTTCCTGTCTTATTCTCCAGCCACCTAGAGATCCTTTTCCTTGTTCCTCTAGCCAGAACTTCAGCCGTTCACCCCACCTTTTGCACTCTTTGACAGAGAACCACCCTCTGGGCAGAGCTTCCAGGAGAATGTTCTCATTCCCCCAAGTTCTCATTCACCACCACAATTTAATTGGTTTCTTTACATTTCAGAGACTGCAGGTAGTTGTTCTTTATACTTTTGACAAGACTTCATTGTAATGAGCAGAAGAGACGTGTGTATGCCACCTCACCAGAACAGGGGTTTGTCATTTGTTGTTCTAGTGATTTGGAAAATATTAATCCTGTGGTACAAATAAGTCTAGAAGCCAAGTCTCTTCCCCAGAGTCCATCTTAGGGAGCACTTTCTGTAACATTTTGCTTCCCTCTCCAAACTGTTGTCACAGTAGTGGGTGTCCCCTAAGATCCTTTGTTTTAATGCAACTGCACAGCTTTTCTGGAGCCAAGTGTGTTTGTTCACACCCAGAAGAGCATATGTGTGGCAGTTTAATCATAAACACCATATGAGAGCACACTTGCCAAGGCTGCCTCAGAATTGGCCACTGTACTGAGCAGTAGCTTAGGTTTTTGTTTGTTTTTAAATTTACTCCCACCATTGCCTTTTCTTGAGCCTTTTCTGTAGGCCAGAACCACATTCCATTTAACCCTCAGCCATCGCTGCAGTCTTCTTCCCATTTTGTACAGAGAGGTGGGAATCCTAAGAGAGTGACTTCTCCAAGACCCTGTAGCTAAGCGCTAGAATTGAAATCTCGGTACCTCTGACTCCAAAGGCCCCGTGCTTAACTCACATGTTCTCCTGGCCTCCTGTGTCACGGAGGGGTTTTGTTCAACAGCATTTGGGGGACAATCAGGTTGTGGCTTTTTATTGAACATTCAAGTGTTCTGTTTTCTTTCTTTTTTAGGAGCTCAGTGATGCCCTTGGAATCAGTATTGCAGGAGGAAAAGGGAGTCCCTTAGGAGATATCCCTATATTTATTGCCATGATTCAGGCCAGCGGAGTGGCCGCACGTACACAGAAGCTTAAAGTAAGCAAGAGGGGGACTGGATTAAGGGCTGACTGCACGGCACATGATGGGGTCGGGGGAGGAAGGTGCAGCCACGGGGACCTCGTTGAAACTTGGAATCCAAAAGCCATCAGAGACCTGTGCTGAGGGCAAAATGCATTAGAGAAACTTTATACCTGAGATCATTAGGTCCCTGGGCATATAAAAATGTTATTGTTTGTATCAAAGCTTCTCCATAAAAGAAGAAATTGCAGCCCCTTTGCAAATCTCCCCAAACCCATTTTAGCACTTCATTCTACTCAAAATTGGTTTTTAGCTCAGAGAGACTTGACCTTAGAATCTTCCCCCAACCAAAAGAATCAACATTTTTATGATGTTTTTTTCCTTTTCCACCTTAATCTTAACTGAAGTAGAAAAATAAAGCAGAAAATATTTGGCTCCCTCATTAGAGCTTTATTGAACAGTTAATTTGTGCACCCCACTATTACCGGCAAGTGGAGGTATGAAACACCACAATTCCCAAAACACAAAAGTGACCTACTGTGCCTTTCAGCAATCAAATCTGACCCCCTTCTTGTTTCTCCAATTTGTCTATATTTGGGGAAAGCCATAAAAATTCCTCGTGCTTCTCTAAAAGGCACACACACAGTCGAAACACAGAGTCGTCACAATAGCCACAAATGGGAAATATGACTTACAAAGAATTTTCAGCATTCTTCTCAAATTTAATTTTTTTTAATGATAGTGATTTTCCACCACTTTTATATTTCCAGGTTGGAGATCGGATTGTCAGCATTAATGGGCAACCTCTGGATGGGCTGTCTCATGCCGATGTGGTTAATCTGCTGAAGAACGCCTACGGGCGCATTATCCTGCAGGTACTGTGATCAATGGGACGTGCAGCTGCGCGAGGCAGATAAGTGGCGGGCAGAAAAGATTGAGCGTCACTGGCAGTAGGCATCACCGCCCAGCGGGGTGCCTGCTGATGTGAATTATGAAGGTTGAAAGCAAGAAAGTATTATTTTTATTCAGAAATTCTGTAATGCCACTCGTACAGGCAGTGAGCATGATTATATGAAAGCATAACAAGGGGAGAGAAATTACTCTTTGCTTCACATGATAAATCAACAAGGCTTTTAATTTCCAGCGTTCTTTTGTAAATCTAAGTTTGCAAGAAATAGGAAATGATTTCCTTTTTTATATCCAAAGACTGTACTAGACTGTCCAAATGCTGTTTCTTCCTGTCCTTCTAAAGGAGAAGAAGAATACAATACTGCTTTTCCAGTAGCGTACATGATTGCCAACATGGTTAAGTTCTTGGTGCATGGTGGTCATCAATTAAGGCGGACAGTTATTGATCAGCTGTGGTCCCCACGAGTATTGTCCAGAGGCACAGAGAAATGTACCAGGAAGTCAAAGCAAAGTGTACCATTAATTACCTCCACTTATGTTTCAGCTGTCTAGAGGCAGCATACTGTCAGCGAGTTTCATTAGTGAGCATCTCCAAATATATAGGATTGTAATCACCACTATTCTGCAGAGGTAGTGTAAAATGGTTTATAGGTAAAAAAAAGATCAAAACCCACCACCAGCCATTCAGATAAGTCTAACCTTAAAATAAGAAGCTTGGATTGAAAACCCATTCCATTTGGGAGAACCAATTTGTGGTGCTTAAGTTTGACGTCTGAGTGATGCAGGCCCAAAGTGCTAAGGCAGATGTTAAAAACCGCAAATGGCGTTAGCATGTATGAGGGAAATCACGAAAATACTGTCACTGGTTTCAAGGGAGTTTATGTGATAGACCCAATATTAGTTCAAGGGAATTTATGTGGTAGGCCCTGTCTATTATTTGGGTCTCCAAGTTTCTGTTGAATGCAAAGCAAAACACTGTGTGGACAGGCCTGGTTCTGTTTCTCCTCCACTCCTTGTTGCTGTTTTCACTTCCTGTGGGAACTTAGGTGTGTAGCTGCCTCATAGTCCTCCCTCCACTCCTAGAGAACCCTTTGCTGGTTTGCTGTACTCCCTTGTCCTTCGAGTTCTACTGACCTCTAGAGGCACGCATCACAAGTGCAGTGCCTGAGCTTCAGAGCTGTCAGTCACAGGGAATGTAAGAGAACATCACCTCCTGTGGGAACCACGACAAGAAAAGTCACTTACCAAATCTGGCATTGTGGGTATTTTCGCATGCTGCTATAATTTGTTCGGCTCTACCTTGTTCACAAAGAATTAAGAAAACACAATTTGAGTCTGGAGTGTAGTTGAGGGGTAAAGCACATGCTAGGTCCTGGGGGTCTAATCCCAGTACCCCCCCACACACACCCCCAAAAAGATATAGTTTAAAAGTAAAATATTGGCTAAATTTTTAAAGTACCTAAAATGAAAATGAGCTCATGCTAGACATTTTGGCTTATGCCTGTAATCCCAGCTACTCGGGAGGCTGAGACAAGATAGGATCACAAGTTCAAGGCCAGCCTGGGCAATTTAGTGAGACTCTGTCCCAAAATAAAAACTTAAAAATAAAGGACTTGCATCCAGGCACAGTGGTGCATGTCTGTAATCTCAGAGGCTCATGAGTCTGAGGCAGAAAGATTGCAAGTTCAAAGCCAGCCTCAGCAATTAGCAAAGCTCCAAGCAATGGAGCAAGAACCTGTCTCAAAATAAAAAAATAAAAAGGTCTGGGGATGTTGTTCATCTTAAGGCAGGAATATTGCAAGATGGAGGCCAGCCTAAGCAGTTTACCACCCCTGGGTTCAATCCTTGGTTCCAAAAATATAAATTAAAATTAAAATTAAAAATAAAGGGCTTGGGATATAACTCAGTAATAGAATGCCTGTGGGATTGATTCCCAATACCACACATGCATGCGAACAAATGCACACGTGCATATGCGTGCAGACACATACACACACACACACACACACACTTTCCCATGTAGATTTAACACTTCAATTCAACCAAATTGCCACTATTAACACACTTTTGAAAGAGTTCCTTCTTTTTTCTATTTCTGTATTTTAAGAAGATGATGAAGTGTGATTTCAGAATGTTCTCTTGTTAATCTTGTGAGTTGTTTTTATTTTGTAACATGTGCTATTAAAAAAATTATGGAACCCTTTGAGATTTTGACAGTTGTAATCTTCACACTTACGGGTACAGAGCATATGTGCTCCCAAAGGCTTTAGACACAAACCCAGGAAACTCGTGTCCCGAATCCAGCGCCTTCCAATTGCTCCATGTGTTTGTTTTAATTAAAACTGTGCATGGAGTAATTCCAACAATACAGTTATCACAGCTGACTTGTCATTAGGCAGTAACTTTTATCCTTAGGTGGGCCAGCCCACTGGCAGAGCAGCAGGAAAGGTCAGATAATTGTGTCTTGCAAAGCAGTCAGCAAATGCTGGTGGCACAGGGAAGACTAAGGACTGGGTCAAAAGGCTGCAGGGTGGATGAGATGAGTGGGAGAGATAGCCATCATGTCTGAAAGCTTCTCCCCAGAGTTTAAATTGCTAATACTAAGCCAGGCATAGTTGCATATGCCTGACATCCTAGAGATCTGGGAGACTGAGGCAAGAATATTGCAAGATGGAGGCCAGCCTAAGCAGTTTAGCAAGACTGTCTCAAAAAAATAAAAAGTATTAAGGACGTATCTTAGTGGTAAGGAGCCCCAGGGTTCAATCCTCAGCATGTAAATGAATGAATCAGTCAATCAATAAACAGTAGATAATTCTGCCCTTGAAGTCTGATGATTTCTTCTTGCCAATTATATATTGATCAATGACATTGATTTGGCCTTTTTAAATGTTCCCAATTTTATTTGCTTCTGTAGTTTGATAGTTTGTCTCATTCAATTATTTTGTGTATGAAATTACTGTTAAAAACTTTGGATAGACTCAAATAAGCCATACTCTGCTAGAAAATTGTTTTTGTTTCTGTTTTTACATCTTTCTTTAGGACATGGGAAAGAAAAGAACATATTAGGAATTTTTTTGTTTTTGTTTTCATGGCATCAGGGATTGAATCCAGGGGTGCTCCATCACTGAGATACACCCCAGCCCCCCCCCTTTTTTTTTTAGACAGGGCCTCATTAAGTTGCCCAGGCTGGCCTCCAACTTGTGATCCTCCTGTCTGAGCCTCCCAACAGTCTAGGATTACAGAGGTGCACCACCACACCCAGTGGCATCTGACTTTTTTCTTTTTCTAATCAGAAATATTTTACTTAGAAAATTCCTTTAGGATATACTTCAACAAATGAGCAAAACAGGAATGAAGGAAGCCAGTAGCTGCAGTGCTGGAGTGCATTAAAATTTCTGGATGACAGCTGTGTGGAAGGTAAAGAGAAAACATAGGCAACCGGAACAGGAGGAAAGGGGGGCTTCAGGAAGGGTTACAAAGGAAAAAGAGGGACAGGTTGTCTAATATGTGTAACGGGATTGGAAGTCCAAGAACAGTTGGAAAGTGTAAGCCTAATGATGAATATATAAAAATAAAGCATGAGGGCTGGGGTTGTGGCTCAGCGGTAGAGTGCTCGCCTAGTACGTGCAGGGCCCTGGGTTCGATCCTCAGCACTACATATAAATAAATAAAATAGAGATATTGTTTCCAACTACAACTAAAAAAATAAATAAATATTTAAAAAATAAAGTGTGAGCTAACCATTAACCTTGGGGAAAATATACCAAAAAAGGAAACATATTTATAGTATAGTAGTTGGTGCAGTGTGAATCACATTTACATAAACATTTATAAGTCGTTGTGTCACTGAATTCCTAGGCTGGGGGATACTGACCCTGGGGGTCCCACAGGTCAGACTCAGCCACCACCCCTGTCACAGACAGGTGCTGGCGAACACAGGAAAGGAGCTTATTCTCAATGTGGCCACACTCTGACAAAGACCCAGGATCGAGGCCAAGGGTACTTAACCACTGAGCCACATCCCCAGCCCTTTTTATATTTTACTTAGAGACAGGGTCTCACTAAGTTTCTCAGGGCCTTGCTAAATTGCTGAGGCTGGCTTTAAACTCATAATCCTACAGCCTCGGCCTCCCAAGCTGCTAGGATTACAGGTGTGGCCCATACTTTTAGCAAAAGAGCCCCTAAGTCCCTATTACAATAATAAAACCAATGGAAGTAAATATTTTGATGCATGAGATAATAAAAACATGGAGTTTGTGATGTTTTAGTGGAAGGAAAATATAAGTTAGGAAACAGGTAAAACTTAAAAATATATAAATTGTAGGTGGAGGATGTAGCTCAGCAGCAGACTGCTTGCTTAATGTGTGCAAGACCCTGGTTTCGATCCCTAGTACCACACACAGACACATAAAGATACATAACTATAGATAGTGATATATGTTAAGTAGAATCCCATTCGTATAGTTCTACATGTTGTGGAGTTACACTGGTCATGTATTCATATATGAACATAGGAAAGTTATATCTGATCCTTTCTATTGTCTTTCCTATTCCCATCTCTCTCGCTTCCCTTCACTCCCCTTTGTCTAATTCAATGCCCACCCCCATTGTGTGTTAACATCCACATACCAGAGAGAACATTTGGCCTTTGATTTGGGGGAGATTGGCTTATTTTGCTTAGCATGATAGTCTCCACATCTATCCATTTACTAGAAGAAGTCATAAATTCATTCTTTCTTATGGCTGAGTAATATTCCATTGTGTATACATACCACATTTTCTTTATCCATTCATCTGTTGAAGCACATATAAGTTGGTTCCCTAGCTAAGCTATTATGAATTGAGCTGCTATAAACATTGATGTGGCTGCATCACTATAGTATGCTGATTTAAAGTCCTTTGGGTATAAACCAAGGAGTGGGATAACTGGGTTGAATGGAGGTTCCATTCCAAGTTTTCTAAGGAA